ACAACCCCTCCAACTACTCCTCTTGACTAACATCCCTATCCAGGCTCGGAGGACGGAAAGAATCTGGTTTGAACTCATCAGGAAAGTGACCCTATGGGTCATATGGAAGGAGAGATGCAGCAGGACAATCGAARGGCATGTCAACCACAGGGAGAAGGTATGGCTGGAAACCAAAATGATGATTCAAGCGGAAATCCTGTGCAGATGGCGAAAGATCAAACAAGACTGGTCAGAGGACGAAGAYCAACGGAAGAAGGAAAGGGCGAAGTTCTATAACAGCTGGCTGCTAAAGGGCAAGATTGCAGAATTGAGTGAGGACCGGATACAGTGGAAAGATTGGCATAATTCAATTCCGGAAAGGAATCCTTGTCAACAGACAAGGTCGGAGGTACCAGTCATGGTCTAGGCCCAACGGGATTGGATTCTATGCTTCAAGAGTCCCAAGGAAGTTAACTAAATGAGGCACAGGGGGGAAATAGGTCAGATAAGGTGATGGAATAAGAAGGCAGTACGGAGTGCCACGGCCCGAAGGATACGAAAAGACGGTTYGAAAAGAGGGGGAAAAAGTCTGAGGACGAGTAAATAAGGTAACAAAGGTGAAGGGAGGGTCTCTCTCTAGGTAATACGGTTACATCTGGCAGACCCGGATACCAGGTCTGAAAGGAGAGAGGAAGGTTGGGCAAGCGGTCAGCTAACTTCCTACTATGGAGGTACAACGATCAACAGTGCATACAGAAAAGAGGGTTTAGGGTTTAAGGTCGAAAGGCGTCTCAATCTAGGTACAGGAAGTCTGAATGGGTAGGGTTTAGGCAATAAAGATCACTTGACGGATTCGCTCCAGAATGATAGTCACCATCTGGCAGACTCGAACACCAGAGCTGAGAGAAGAGAGAGGGTCAGGGCAAGCTGACAGTCAATCCTCCACGAATATGGAGTAATCAATGCTGTTCAGGGGTCCTTCGGCCAAACGGAAGGAAGCGTGTGTGAATTCTCATTTGATGTACAAAAAATTTTATGACTTGCCGGGGGAATAGGAACCGGACTGACGCTCCCCAGAATAGAAGGAGCCAGGACCATAAGGCCTGTTTTTTTTTTTTTTTTTTTTTTAAAAAAAAAAAAAAAAAAAGAAGAAGAAGATGTAATGACCCGCCAAAACACAGACTCAGAACACTTCTGTGCTGATTTCTGGGTTTCGCCGCTGGAATGTATGCCTTGCTGAGATTTCCGCGTTGTGCTGAGTTTTCTAAGTCTGCGTGTGTGTGCGTGCTTGCTGGCACGTCGGCCTGAGTGCGTGTGTGGCACAACAGGGCACTTGTGTGTTGTGAGGCCCGCTGGGCCGGTACTTACCTGTGGCCGGGACTTTGAGGGTTGCAGTGGGGAAAAAACTCAAGTAGCGGGGAGTACGACCACGACACTTAGGGCAGCGGGGAAGAAACACTCAAGTAGCAGGTAGGCCGGAATCACTCAAGCAGCGGTAGATGTGTCAGGAACTGAAGGCCGAGCAGAAGAAGACAAAAAAGGTGGCATTTTTAGAGCCCAGGTAGCGGTAGGCTATAGAGGTAGGCGGGTACCAGTCCAAGTAGCCTGACTCTACGGCCTGCGCGGATGATATCATAGCCTGCAATGATGTTTCCCTCCGAAAGGGAGGAGGTACTGGTTGCTTGGAGGCCGCGCGGCCTGGAAGTCGCCGCCGAAGAGGCAAGTCGGCCGCTATGTCTCCAGGTAGAGTGCTGGGCTCTACCTCATTTGCGGTATATGCAAGTTTAGGCGTCATGCTGCTTGAGCGGGCGCTGGTTCTCAGAGCGCTGCCTGGGAGGAAGGAGGAGAGCTGGGCTCTCTGCCTGGCCTTTTAGCGAGAAGCCCACCTTGAGGAGGAGGAAGAAGGGGGCGAGGGAGGAGAGTGGCGAGGTGCCTACTTGGCTATGGTGGACACCATCTTCATCACCTTGTTAGGCTCTGCATCTGGAAGGCCCCAGTCCGGGTTGTGCCGCACCAAAGGAGCTTCGAGGCAGAGTCAGGCATGGCGGCCTGAAGAACAGCGCCCATAGCTGCTTTGCGTCATCTTTTGCAGAGGAGGACAGAGCCCTTAGTAGTCCGCCATAGCCTAGGCATGTGAGAGGAGGAAGAAGGGGGAAGCCATGGCTATGGTGGACCTGTTGTTGTGTCAGCAGTAAGAGAGAACTTCGGATATTGATTCTGGTTCATCCACTCATTGTTATTATTATTATTTGGGAGAAGAATAAGATCGGTGGAGACGAGGAGGAGGAGGAAAGTGGAGAGAGAAAGGAGATTTGTCATTGGTCTTGCAGGTGTACATCTTCTTCATCTTCTTCTTCTTCTTCTTCTTTTTCTTCTTCTTCTTCTTCTTCTTCTTCTTCTTCTTTCTTTCTTCTTCTTCCTTCTCCTTTGGTCTCTGTCTCTTTGCAAGTGTTTTCATTTCTTTCACAATTGGGTGGCATTGTCTTTGATTGTGAATTTGCACTTTGGAAATAGCCAGGATCATAACAAAAACGAAGAAGAAGAAGAAGAAGAAGAAGAAGAAGAAGAAGAAGAAGAAGAAGAAGTTATTTGCGACATCCGTTGAACGATACAGAGAACATTAGCATGACCCCTGCACGAGGATGACACACGTGAATTGAGAAATGGTTCAAAATTGAAAGAAAAAAAAGGAGAGGAGGAGGAGAAGAAAAAGAGTGGGGCTACCAGCAGAGCCAGGGTAGGATGGGCAAAACACATATGTAGCATCTCAAGTCTCTTCGTGGACATAAAAAGGTACCTCTCCAGCCTCCGCGGAAACAGCAACAGGCTCACCCATACCAAGGACATGCGCTTCTGCCACAACAGCAGTTATTGCCCCATCTTTGCCGGATCCTCCCTCACATTTGTTCACAACTAAGATTGTCTGCACATCCTGCCTCCTCAGCCAGTTTGCTAAGTCCATATCCAACGGCTGGATCTGAAAAGGAAGCACAAATAAACAGAGACGGACACACAAGCACAAAAAGGATGAGGAGGACGACCGAAAGGAAGAGCAAGAGAAAGAGCAGGAGTAAGAGCGGGAGAAAGAGGAGGAGGAAGAGGAGGAGGAAGAGGAGGAGGAGGAGGAAGAGGAGGAGGAGGAGGAAGAGGAAGCGGACGAGGAAGCGGACAAGGAAGCAGACGAGGAAGCGGATGAGGAAGCGGACGAGGAAGAGGAGAAAGAGGAGATGGAAGAGGACACGGAAGAGGAGGATGACTACAAGGAGAAGAACGATGGAGCGAAGGACAGAAAAGAAGTAAACGGGAAGGGGGGGGGGGGATGAGCAGAAGGCAGAGCAAATGCTGAAGGGCGATCCTGAAAAGGGCGCTAAGGATGAGGGTGTTGAAGATAAGGAGGAGAAAAAAAACATTAAGTATAAGATGAGGGGATGAAGAGCAAGAAGCACGGAGAGGAGAAAGAGGAAGGAGAAAGAGGAAGGAGGAAGGAGGAAGGAGAAAGGAAAAGAGGGCAATAAAAATGCAGATAAGGACAACACAAACAACAAACAACAAACAACTTTGGTAGAGCCAGCCTCCTCAAGCAATCTGCATGCCATCTCAATGTTTCTCTGCATTCATGTCAAAAACTTCAAAGCTACAAAAGGAAATGGAACTAGCCCCCAACCTCGTTGAGTCCTACAGGATTCATAAGTCTGCATCTGTTTGTCAACAATTATATGTGTGTACCATTCAGCAATCAGGGCCAGGTACGCCAAGCTTCAACTAAACCGTTAATTGATATCTGATGCGGGTCCACCGTCGGCACCCAAATAGAACGCACTGTTATGATAGCTGTACATGGGGCAACTTTCACTCGAGATACAGCGATAAGGACCATGAGTTCTATTCGGGTGACGATGGAGGGGGCTCCTGAAACTGTGTTTGCAAGCATTCAAAATTAGGAAGTTTTTCCTGGCCGGACGGGAAGCCGAGTGCCATGCCCACGGGGGTCTGCTGCCCGGGGCACCCAGATGTGTAAAAGTCTAAAAGAGTCCGGCAAAAAAATATATATATTCTTTTTTTGGAGGTGGGGGTCTTCCGTGCTCGCCGAGAGGGACCCAAAACCGGGCTCTTTGCTTGTCAGCGTTTTCTGTTAAGGGGGAGGAACGGGGGTATGAATGGGTTCTAACTTCTAAGGGGCCTTTAAGGGGTTTAGAGGGGGGCGCCTTCGTCTTTTTTTTTTTTTCTATCTTCAATTCAATGAAGAATTGTGAGGTGACCCACAGTAGTTCGTAGTTACTAGTTATGGATCCATATTTTCTGGCCTTAGGTCCATCGCTGCACTCGCAGGGCATCGAACCGGCACCCTCATCCACAAGAGCCAAGTATCTTAACCACTACAGCCATGACACAGCGTTAGGAAGAGCACCATACTGGCCATGATATTCCTCCCCCCCCTGCAAGGCTGTACCGTCCTACTCACTCACACCACACAAAACACCACACGGACGCGGCAGTTCTCGCACACTTCGCTCCAATCCAGCGCGTGACCCTCCGGTGCTCCACTGCCTGGTCACCGCACGAGGCCTCCTCGTAGGTTCCTTGAGAGCCTCCACAGTAGTCATGGATCCACACTAAAAAAAGAAAGAAAACAAAAAAAACAAGTACCTCAGCCACAAGAACCAAGTACCTCCACACGAGTCATGGATCCATACTTTCTGGCCTTAGGTCCACCCGCACACACATGGAATCGAACCGGCACCCTCAGCCACAAGGACCAAGTACCTTTAACCGCTACAGCCATGACGCAGTGTTAAAACTTAAAGTGGAACCACACCGCTTGTGATATCCACCCCACCTCTGCATTCCCACAGCCAAAAGTTGTGTGCATTGCAATTCTACAGAACATTTCTTTTTCCGGAATCGTTGACGTTTTTTTCTTTTTTTTTTTGCTCCAGGGCTGCCTGGAACCCGCCTGGTCAGGCATCCCAGCATGTGTACGGGCACCACTTGGTGGCCCACGCACACGGATTCTCTTCGAAGAAATAAAATCAATCAATTTGATCCATTGGCATCTTCCAAGAGAGAGACGGTTTCCACAGTTACCTCCATCAGAGCTGCAGTTATAGGATAGAATAAAGGCCACATCTGGGAAGGGAAGCTAGTGAACAGATATTGTGGCTTTTAAGATCATGCTGAACTGGATTTAGGAAGCGATAGTCTTCGCAACACTTCACAATACAAGTTGAGAGAAACCAATTTGGTCTATTGGCATCATACAATGGAGGCAAGCTTTCCTCAATCACCCCCATCAGAGAACAAAGGTCATATTGACAGCGTCTGACCGACCTGTCCTCCCATGATTGCAGTGGGATAGGATGGGGAAGAGGAGTCTTTTGCCCTCCAACAATGGCAATAGGATACGATAGCATAGCATAGAATAGCATAAGGATAGGATAAGGAATGGAAATAGTAGTAGGAATAGGAATAGGAACGAGAATAGGAATAGGAACGAGAATAGGAATAGGAACGAGAATAGGAATAGGAACAGGATAGGATAGGATAGGATAGGATAGGATAGGATAGGATAGGATAGGATAGGATAGGATAGGATACGATACGATACGATAGGATAGGATGGGATAGGATGGGATAGGATAGGAT